TAACTGTCCAGAATTAAAAACAAAACAATTGCAATTAATTAATTGGAAGATTTTCATATTTCTTTTAGAAGTCGTCTAGATGGGTCATTTAAGCATTTACATCTGGCTAGAAAATTAAAAGATCTCTTTTATGTATCTTGCCAAATGTCTGAAGTCCAACTGCTTGTGTACATTCCCCTCTAGTGGTGACTAGTACATATTGCAGAAAGCAGCAAATGCTATCTCAAGGGAATCAGAGAATGATAGAATCAATATGGTTGGAAAAGACTTTCAAGATCATCGAGTCCAGTCTTACACCCATCCGTACCTGCTAGACCATGTCCCTAAAAAGTGCCTCATCTACACGTTTCCTGAACACTGCCAACCAATGGGACTCCACTGACCTGGGCAGCCTGTTCCAGTGCTGACTACTCTTTCCAAGTAGAAATTCTTCCTAATGTCTAACCTGAACCTCCCCTGACACAACTTGAGGCCGTTTCCTCTTGTCCTGTCGGTTGTTATTCTGGGGAACAGATCAACCTCCCCCTCACTGCAACCTCCCTTCAGGTACTTGTAGAGAGCCATAAGGTCCCTCCTGAGCCTCCTCCTCTGCAGACTGAACAACCCCGGCTCCCTCAGCCACTCCTCATAAGGCCTCTGCTCCAGCCCCTTCACCAGCTTCGCTGCCCTTCTTTGGATGCGCTCCAGGACCTCAGTGTCCTTCTTGTAGTGAGGGGCCAAAGAAGCAAAGACTAAACAGAAAGAAAAAGTAAAGTACTTCACTGGAAAAAAAAAAAATTAAGGATTGAAATGTTTTTGAATCAATGACCTCCTGTAAATATTCCTCAGCAGTAGCTAACAGGTTCTCTGTTTAACCTTATTTTACTGCTTTTTATTTTTTATATCACACCAACTCTCTTGCCAGGATCAAGGTTCTTCTCCCCTGGCAACATATACTTCAGCAATATTTCTGGCTTGCTTCTTCACACATAACTGGCATTAAATTACACCACTTAAAACTACCCAGCAGGGAGTTTCCAAAATAATGAAATAAAACATAAGCAAGGGCAAGCATAAGCAAGGGTAGCTGGATGAAAAGCTGCTGGGAAGTGAAATGAAAATTTGTATTCACTGCATGTTTAGAAAAAGGCCATTGACACTTTCAGTGGGAAATCAGAAGTCAGCCTTGACAAATTCTGAAGGTTTAGAGAAGCACCTGATAGACAAATGGAGGACGTATAACTGCAGTCAGACATCATGAACAGATGGTCTTCCTTCCAGCCAAGGTTTTCAGAGATAAAGTGAAAAAATGTTAATTAAAAACTACATGGCTGTGCAACATACCATCAATTATTCAAGGTTTTTCAAAGACTGCAAAACAACTATTCTTTAAAACAGAAAAATCTGAGGATTTGTAGGCCAGTGGGGATCTTCTCTCAAGAGGAGAAAAAGAAAGTAGAAAATTCTGCCTGCTTGAGGATGAAATAAAAACACTGATAACTGCTTGGTTCACTAAAATTAACAGCAACTATTTAGCTTTCCCAGAGCATTTCTTACGCTTACAGCTTATCCAGACAAGGACATTCTGTAAGAATTTGTTCAATAACAGAAAATCGGGAAAAGAAATGAAGAAAGCATCTCTTACCAAAATCTTGTGACAGGGAATTTTTGCATTTCACAGGTGAGCCAGGGTCACCAGCAGGTTACTTTGAGGGTCACTTAAGCAAACAAACCGAAAGTACTCGTGTGCCAGTGTGGTTGGGCACCTCTGGAGGCACAAGGGAGACTCGGGCTGCCCTCTGTATTTAAGGGTGTTCGAACAGAGTAAACTTGACCAGCACTCTGCCACTTGACCTATAAAAAATGGATTTTCAGCAGGGAAATAAAGCCCATAAAGAAAGTAGTTCAGCAAGAGAAGGAAAAGATCTAAACTCACAGGACCTGCATTTGCAGAAAGCCTCACTGGATATCCATATCTTTGCACTTTAAAAGGGCTAAGAAAAGCCTAACAAAACGTTCATTCTCCTCAAGAAAGAGAAACTTGCTGGTAGCTTCAAAAAAAAATGTAGTAGAGACAGACTCAGAAACCCCAGCTTTTTGCTGCACAAACTATGCCACTGATAGGCTATATCAAAAAATATATAACCAATACATGGATAACACAAACGACAGTTCCTCACCAGGACTCTTTGAGTAAACTTCTTTTCCCCAAAATTTTAAGAGAATCTAAATGACACCTGTCCCCGCAGTAACCCCACCTCAGAGGGCGCAGCACCGCTGGTCCCTCAGGACAGGCCACCCCCTACGCACTGCTGGGGGCTGTCCCTAAGGGCGCAGGACAGGCCATCCCCTATGCGCTGCTGGGGGCTGTCCCTAAGGGCGCAGGACAGGCCACCCCCTATGCACTGCTGGTCCCTCTCCCTAAGGGCGCAGGACAGGCCACCCCCTACGCACTGCTGGGGGCTGTCCCCACGGAGGCTCCCTGCACCACGCTGGGAGCCGATGCGGCCCTTCACTCGTGCAACGTTCCAGTTACAACAACACAACAGCTTTCGCTGGCTACTCAGCTCACAGAAAACATCAGTCCTATGGCCATAATTGATTAGATCTATGAAAAGTATTTTTTGCAGTCACCTGCCTTACTTCATTTCCTTAAAATTAAAAGGGAGAATAAAACATATTTCGATGCAAGTACCCACTGTTTCTTTTAGCTTACTTTCATCTCTCATAAGCTCACTTGCCATTGCTCTGTCTTGCCTTCGGAAACTCAGTCACTGCTTGACCCCTGCAGATAGAGGAACTTCAATACCAAGGACTAGAGCAGCCCCCTCTTGCATGAGCCCCTTATTGACTCATCAGCCACCCTGGGGCACTTCAGGAGGGCTGGAAATAGATGCCCATACTGAAACCCCATCAGAAGAGTTGCTTGAAGACCACTCAGGCAATGTTGGACCAGAAGTCTTAGCTTGGATGTACTGTGTACTCATCTAACATGGTGCTAAGACCAAGTGGGCTTAGCCACCTCACTCCAGTTTCACAGTGCCACACCAGCAAGGCATTGTGGCTTTTGGATCTCCTCTGCCTCACTTTTCACTCTCTTGGAGCACAGATGGAGCACACACAGTGTTACCTGCCCCTGACTCTACAAGCGTGCCTCAGAGTATATTGATTTTGCTTTTAAAAGAGATGCACACCTGTAGAGTTTGGGGTCTACCAAGGAGCTCATAAACTTTTAACCTCCTGCAAAATCCAGTTAGAGTAAGACATTGGAAGGCATCTGTTACTACAGCTGATATCAGAAGATGAGGCATTTCATTGCCTCTTTATGCTGAACTCACTTCACACACTGAGATCTCTCTGCACCTCACCAAATCCTGCATCAACCACTTACCTCCCATGCCATCCTCCCACCCCTGCAATTTCAGAAATTACTTAAGAGTAAATCCAACCTCCCACCTTTTAGGTTCTCTGTACTTCCACATTAGTCAAATCTTCTTCTTCCTCTGCAAGCCAGGGACTTTGTGCCTTCCCCATTATTTCTTTTCATTTTTATACACTGATGATTGCTTGTTACTTTACTCTTTAGGTTCACCTATAGTAAAAATAGTCATGATCATGTTTTCCAGGGCTTTTCTTCAGCTATTTAGCAATGCTTCAGGCCGCACAGCTCAAAAATAAGTTTTAGGCATTTTATTCTTTCATAAAGCCTCCCGTAGCTTTGGAGTTTAAAATTGTCTTCAGGTGGGTACTTATTGAAATACAGTCCATCTATCCCATCTGTCTTGATATTATCCTTGATAATCTCCGATTCTTTATGGCCATCAATCTGGCTGCTAAAGCCAAGGCTAAATCTATTTGCTATGGGATCTACACAGATTTCTAACACTTCTCTCATGATAGCCTTAGCAGCAAACTCAGTGCTTCATCCTGAACTTCCATGTCCCACACCTCAGCTTGCTTAGCAGTACATTTATCAATAATCATTACAATTAGTTATTTTACTGTTATTCCTCCATCATGCTCTGCACATACTCACCATTCTACACAGTTCCTTTCTTCATAGTAAAATGCTCACTACTTATTTCCTCTAGTGGTAAGGAGCTCCCTGTGCCTCCATTTCTCCCCTCTCCTCCCTTCACTCACTCACTCTCACAAAACTTTTGCTTTCTTTTATTTCACTTAAGATGTCAGTCTTTCCAAATATTTTGCAATAACAGGCAGAATAAAAAATGTACTGATTTGCTGCATGGGGCTAATGGATTTGATCAGCCACTCCATTCCCTTGCAAAAGTCACATGCATTTGAGCTCGCTGGGCGCACTAAACAACACGCCACACTCAACTTCTAACATCATAGTCTATTTTCTGACACTGCTCTGCAATTGTTCTTTCATCCTTCACTTTGCCATTGTTAAGACTTCCTGGGTCAAAATACAGATTTGCTTTTGCTTTGAGCTGGGCAGAACCATTTTACAGACTTTCTTCACATACATTCGTTTTATCCTCCTTCCTGTTCAGAGTTTATTCCCTTAGAGATACAGTAACAGTATTCTTCAACCAACTACTACAAAATCACCATAAGAATACCTTGCCACACTGTATGCCTTAAACTTGCACATCTCCCAGATTTTTTTATTTGTAGTATACTAGTATCTCTAGTATGCTAGAGATCTGGCTTTGGAGCAGAGTGCTGAAACTAACAACATTTGCTGCACTGCGAATAAGCAGTCCAGAAGTGAATGAGCAGTCTAGACTAATCTCAGGATACCATTTTTATTTTCATTTATTATAGCAGCTCTATACTCAACTAAGAGTCATTCATTTAGCTTTAGACTCATTTACGGGTACGGAATTTAAAGCAATCACCAATTTGTCCAGCTTTGTGAACACCAAGACTTCAGGGAGGTACATTTGAAAAACAGCTTAGAAAAAGACAGTAAGAAATGGGGAGGGCAAATCAACAACAACAATAAAAAAAACGAAAAAGATAACCAAAACCAGATCTTTTTTCTTTCATTCCAGCATCAAAAACCCAGGTACAGTCCTGTGATCCTTCATGTAGGACCTGTGACAAAGATGCTAACATGTGTACTTCATGTCCAGAAGGTAGGAAACTTTCAGGTTCTTTGGGCAGTTTTGGCAAGTGTCTAAAATACTCCATATGCTAAGTTGTTCCGTGGTCCTTTTTTGGTCGGTGCTCAGTAGAAAGTTCTTTGGCACCTTGAAGTATGAGAAGGTAATTAGATTATCAGAAGATAAAAAGTCAGACACATAGCAGCTAGGAATAAAGCACCCTTAGCAATAGAGGTAAAAAATACTGTGAAGTGGGTGTTGTTGCTTTCTTTTCTATTCAATCAAAAGTTGTAGAAGTGATGCAAGAATTACTGAATATGGGTTTCAGGAAGGTTGTACCTGATAATTATGATGATCCTTTCTAACCTTAGGGGAGACTGAGCAAACTATTTTGGAAAATAGTTTAAAGAATGTTTCAATCATGTTTATAGGCATCAAAAATTCAAGCTTTTGGGAAGTATAATTTTTTTTTATAGCCCTCCACAATAAGGTTCTTTTAAATACATTTCTCTTTGGTCCCTTTCTCCACTTGGGTTGCTGTTTTGCCAGGAAAATTTCTTAGCCATGATAGCTGTGTCTCCGAATGCCCTGAACAAACTTTTGGCAATGTGGAAAGCGGGAAGTGCGAGATGTGCCTGGACGACTGTGCGGTGTGCTCCAACCCCTGGCACTGCCAGAAGTGCCTGTCTGCAGAACAACAAATGATGATTACTCTTTACTTTACACTCCTTTTAGATTAATAAATATTAATCAGATGAGTCACTATCAGATTGAAAATCTCCCAAGGAGAAAACTTATGGTAGCCTTCAGCACTAGAAGCTACCACACGGTCAAAGTCATTTTCTGCCTGCTTGAGGTAGTAACATTTTATCTTGACTGAGATCACAAGTGACTATGTCTGATGGTAAAGATCCTCTTGATTTCAGAACCTCAAGGTGGTTCTTCGTAGTAACTGAAAAATCATTGCCCAGTCCTTCTCCTTACATACTTTAGTATCACCAAATACAGGTATTTCTCATGCACCCCGTTGTGATTTTTTTTTTGGTTTGGGTTTTGTTTTGTTTTTTTTCTTCCCAGCCTTCACACTTCCAGGGATTCCTCTACTTTTTTTTTTCCCCTCTATATTATTCTTTCTATATCATTCTTTCTACTCCTGCTATCACTGCTGAGGGATGGCTGAGTAAGAAAGGAAGTCCAGCAAGCCCTAGGTTTAGCACAGGAATAAGGGAAGGACAGACTCCCTTCATGGTGTGAACTGTGCAGGTTTTCTGCCTGCAGACAGTGCTACTGGTGCCATAAAGGAATGTAACGGAATGGAGAATAGACAACAAAATGTTCAAGAAATATTTTATTTCAGTGAAATATATCTGCTGGGAACATAATTCTTGCAACCTATGTGACTGGCTTATTCTATAAACATGCTCTGACCAGCTGTTCACTTTGTGTTCATTTTAATTGAATAGGGGATATTTTAATGACTCTGGGACTTGCAAGGAATGCAGTGGATCCTGTAAGACATGCACAGGAAGTGCCACCAAATGCCAGTCCTGTGAGAGTCCTTTGCTTCTGGAACAATGGGAGTGTAAACATACCTGTTCAGAGAAGTATTTTGCTTCTGAAGGAATCTGCAAGCACTGCCCTCCAATGTGTCAAGAGTGCATTCACAGTCAAATGTGCAAAGGTATTACAGGGAACTTTTTGTGCCTTAAATGAGACAGATTTAGAAAAGAACAGACTGGCAGACACACACATGTGAAAAGAAATCCCATAATGAGCAAAAATGATTTGGTTTATAACCAAATGGTTTATAACATTGCTAAACCACTACAATAAAGGCTAAGCAATCTGTGCTTTATGACGAGACTCCATTGAAAACATACAGAGGTGTTTCGCTCCGCTCTGTTGTGTTTCAGGAGGTTCCTATTGGATTAATTCTATTTCTGATTTAGCAAATGATTGGTCTTTTCACACTTAAATTCTTTAACATTTACACCAATGTGCAAATTTTCTTTCCTAGTTTAAATGCATCTCTTTCTTTACCTTTTTTGCAAATTGCTACTCAAGGTGACAGATGAAACTTCTTTAAGTATGTAAAACATACCTAGTAACGCTCATAAATCCTCCAAAGTCTGGCTGCACACGCAAAACAATAAGGGATAGCTAACATTTAAAGAGAAAATCATTCTGGAAACATTAGCATGGATGAAAAAGAATCACAAATAAACCTCCTAAACTAGGCAGTTATAATAAAATGAACAGCTGAATCCCTATTCCGAATCTCCTAACACCATCAAAGCCCCAGATGCAAATATTCCAGTCAGACTAATGTTTTAATAATAAAACCTTCTAATCTGGACATCCCTAATTTTGCAGAAAGTTCATAATCCAGATATAACATCTCGTCAGAAGCCATTCTCCATTTAATGTCAGCATGGTCTGGTTAGTATCAGCAAAGTTGAGCAGAACTTTAGGCTAATATGGGCAGATTGGAGGAGAAAGTGTCAAAGGAAAATACATTCCCAGGTTGTCTGGCACTGCAGGATTGATGGCTTTCTGAGATCTCTTCACTTCCACAGTGACCAAAGCCAGGACTAGCATCTCACGCAGTGTCTCCCGTTCTCCACAGTGTGCATGGACGAGTTCTCCCTGCATGACGGGAGGTGCGTGGAGGACTGTCCCTCTCACTTCTACGCCGAAGACAAGCAGTGCTTCCCCTGCCACGGGGACTGCAAGGACTGCGACGGGCCCGACGCGGACGACTGCATCGAGTGCGCGGTCAGCTTCTACGTCCTCTACAATGGACACTGCTTTGAAGAGTGCCCCGAAGGGACCTACTACGAGGAAGCGACTGAAGATTGCCAAGGTTGGCAGGCTTGTTTTCTCCAGACAAGTACTGAGATGCAAGTAGAACTGGATGGATATTGTTCCTAAAGGGTCTGTGGGTTGCTAATGTAGGTATGAGCGCGTGAAACAGAGCAACAGAGAAACAAAGGCCTGATAGACATAGCTCAGAACAGCAAAAAGTCAGAGGAAATGGAGAGCGAGGTAGCAAAGCTGGAGGTGTTTGAAAATACATGCAGTCACTTTCATAAACAGCTGAGTAGTTGCTCCTTATGCTAGCGATGTTGAAAACTGCTGCTCAGCAAAAGCACTGCCAGCGTATAGGACAGCCGAAGGAGTAGGCTGCATAATGGTGAAAATGTTGACCTGTTCGGTTACGCAAAAGCAGAGCTGTTGTTCATTTCACTCACCTCCTCATCCTGATGGCTCCTTGTAAAATTAAATCTGAAATAATAACTCGAAATGAAAAAATAAATGGTGACATCCCTGCTCTTTGTCCTTTTCAGCCTGCAATAGGACATGCCAGACTTGTTCTTCTTCCACTGCCTGCCTTACCTGCAGACACGGCCTGACGCTGAACCACAACGGGCAATGTTTGTCATCCTTGCCCTGCTCCCGCACTGAGTACCACGACGAGCAAATGCACACCTGCAAGCCTTGCCACAAGAAATGCCATCACTGCTCCGGACCCACTGAACACCAGTGCCTTAGCTGTGCAAATAATCTCTATCTTCTCAGTGAGTACTTTGATCCTGTGTCTAGATTTTATTTTACATTGAAGAATGGGAAAATAGGAGAGCACCAAATAGGCAAGTTTCTATCCATGAAGAATCTGTGAACACTTCAACCTAAATATTGCAAGACTGACCCAACAGTAAGTCGATGCAGAGGTATTTACTTCTTCAGGGCTATTTTGAGGAGTGGACAAAATGGTCATTCTGGGCTTTTGAAGCCAAAACCAGACTTCTGAGTAGAAACAAAGTCCATGGTTAAACAAAACTTGCATTTGTTTCATTTACTGTCTACTTACTGTCACATTTATTTCTTAAAAGCAACTTGAAAAAGAAAAAAGGAATGTCCTTAACTCATGTTTTGTAAGCACAGAGTTCACATTTACATGTTGGCTCATTTAATCCCTGCAGAGATTTGATGGAAAAAGCCATACTTAAGCTGAGAAGTTAAAAAATTCTTTCTGGATCATTAGTCAGTCACTAGCGGATCCTTGAGAAAACTACATTTTTCTTCTTTCTTTGGAGGAAAAGACCCTGTTGTCTCAGAAAGAAGTTGGTAAAAATAATAAAATCTCCAGACTTAGATTTTACTTTCTTACGTGTTAAAAAATAAACAAAAAATAAAAATTACCTTTAGAGAAACGAATATTTTAAATGATCTGCAATTCAAGAAAAATCTAAAGTAAAACTGACTTAAAACACTGACTGTGAGCTGTCTGCTCTGTACCTAATTCTGATGCAGGTTTTGAATTCTTATATTTTTGAGGGATGGACTCAGACTTGACATTATTACTAGCATATACATCTTATTATTACCATCAGTGAATATCTTCCTTTGTCTGTTTGTAATCTGAGCAGCAAAACAATAAAGATAAGCTAGATAATGAGTGCAAGCTGTTAAGAAAAATCACTATTCCCTTAGCTTCGTGCACTTGCAGTTAGTTGATTAAGTCCTGTTTTTTCTTTCCAGATTTCTCTTCTGTTAATGACCCTCTGAAATCTCAGGCAAACAATGTGATGTACCTGGCACATTTAGCAGCATTAGAGGTGTATGTTCCCATAGCACAAAGGAGCAGCCACATACAGGGACAAAGACCAGAAAGCAAACATCATTAAATCTCAAACCTCTTACAATCAGATTTGCCAAATACACAGAATGCAATGAGCCTGAAAAAATACGCTTAGAATCAGAGCAAAACCCAGGGAAAATGGTAATGCAGATAGATAGAAAGTTTCCTGATTATTTCTTTGTATATTCTGAAAGAAATCACAGCTGCTGTTCATTATTATTTATTATGCTTGCATTTATATTTTCTAAAGTTTTTTTTCTGAAGAGTCTGCTAGCATACATTCAACTCAGAAGTGAAGACTAATGAAGTGACAAGACTTGGAAGAAACAAAAAATAATTAGCATGTCCCAATGTTCCCTTTACTGGCTTTGTTACAACTCCAGCAGCATCCCTTGCTAGAGTGTGCTCCAGCAGAGCTGTATGAGATTTTTATAGCAACAAATACTGAATATGATCTGTTATTCTTCATTGTTCTCTGTGCAGACACCACTTGTGTTGAAACATGCCCACCTGGGTATTTTGTTGACAGCGAGGAGGGACTGTGCTCCCCATGCCACAGCACCTGTGACACTTGCTCTGGAAAACACAGCTCACAGTGTCTCTCCTGCAAACCGGGCTGGTACAGGAAAGCAAAAGGATGTGTAAACCAGTGTCCAGCTGGGTAAGGTCCAAGGTCTTTTAGCTAACATCACAGAGAGAGCTTTGAGAAATCAGATCACTCTGCCCTGTCCTATCTCAGAATGAAAATTTCTCATGTCATCCAAGTACACAGAGGTGGTGTAAAACCTCCCATTCCAGTGCTGAGCTGGAGAACTATGGCTGGTGCCCAAGCTGGAACAAACTTGATGCAATGGGACCATTCTTAAAAGCTCCCGGGAGCTTTTAAGATTATATTTATACCAAACAGCATGAAACAGAGTAAAGAAACAAATTTACCCCTTAATTAGTCAGTGTTTCGCATTGAGTGAATGATTATAATGGATTCCGATAAAATCGATTACTATTTAACCTAAGATTGATAATTTTAGGCAGCCAATTCATTAATATGAGTCTGTAAGGACGATATATACCTTAATGCAATCACTCTGCAGTTATTCCTCTTTTTCTCAGACTGCGCAATGTAGATGAACAAACTATTTCTCCCTTGGTGTCCTTCGGCTAGGCCTTTTGGAAATACTGAATTCCCATCTGACAGCTGGGCATCAGAAGCTGTGAGGAATCAGATGCTTGCCAGCATCTCACAGGATATTTGTGGGGAAGACTAGAGTTTAGGATTTCTAAGTCATGCCTGTTTATTTGCTTACTTCATATCCTGTATTAACCCTGCATTTTGGATAGTCTTGCTTTATAAATTATATTCCAAAAGGAAAATTCAGTCTAAGTAAATGCAGTCAGAGGCAAAATGCACTGAGATGCACAGTAAAAGCTTATGAAGAAGAATGTTTTGGCCTTTCCTGCCACTTTTAGGTGTTTGCAAAGTCAACACTATCATCTGATCTGTTTCAGATACTTTGCACAGAACTCCACTAAATCATGTGAGAAATGCCACAAGACCTGTAAGGAGTGTACGGGACCTCAACCTACAGATTGCCTTTTCTGTGATACCTATTTTTACCTGTTGCGCTCCAAGAACGAATGCGTTAGCTCTTGCCCTGACTATTACTACGAAAACAAGGACAGCAACATGTGTGAGAGATGTCACCCTTCCTGCAGAACATGTGAAGGTAAGAGCCTACACTCTGCTTCTACCAAAAAACCCATCGAAACACCAGCCACACCTTTCCTATGTCACATCCGTGCTCCAGTCTGCGGAAAGGCCTCACAAGGGAGGCGGCAGCAGCAGCCATGACCTTCGATCCAAGCAGTGAAGCCAGCGGCACAGCCCGTCTCTCCCTCTACCGGCTTCCTGGTAGAGGAAGCTGGCTGACCCAGGCTGCCACCTTATTTACAGAGCACTGAATCACCAAGATCAACCAAGACTACCAATCCCCGCGTAGCGCAGAGGCACCACAGGAGAAGAGGGGTCACCAGGACAAAGCGCAGGTAGATGGGCTGACCACATTAATGAAGCTCACCTACGTCGGCCAGGCTCCTCACAGAGATGCCCATCAGCCCTACAGCCAGGGCTCTGATGCCAGCAGGGCCGGACTCTCCTTGTCTCACAAACACGGAATAACCTCTCTCTCCTTGAGCTCTCATACTGCATGTGCCACGCTGTGGAAGACACGGAATCCAAACCTAACCGCGCATCTTTACAGTCCCTAAGGGGTAGAAAGTCAACAGCCACGAACACTGAAAATAACAAAAAGGCCACAAACCATCTCTAAAGTGAGAAAAGAAAAAGTGGGGTTTCTCTTGTTTTGAGTATAGCTAAGTATTTTTCAAAGCTAACTTTGAGACACCATCTGTTTTGCTCTGTGATACATTTACGTATTCCATGCCTTTTTTTTTCCCTGTATTATATTACATCTAATTCTGAATTTGGCCTCGTTATTCCCCTTGGACCCATACAGTGTCCTATTCTATCTCAGTGGCAACAGATGACTACTAGCAGGTGCCACTCTGCATCTTAGACTACGCCATATCACAAACTAAAAGTACGCTTTTGGACAGTGGATGTATTGGACAGTGGACAGCGCAAGCAGCTAATTACAAACATAACAATATTTAAAAATGTGGAAATAGTTCCTAGAGCAAAGCCACCTTCAAGAACTATAGAAACATAACTATATCAGGACATCATAATAAATGACAGCAGTATTTTGGCTTACATTTGGGACAAAGAGAGATTGTCATTTTAGTTTACAGGTTGCTTCTTATGATTGATTTCTATTTTATTTGGGAATAATACTACAGGACAGATTTTCTATCTTAATTATAGGGACAGTATGATGAAATACAATCCAGTCCTACAAAAAGCAATACAGTAGGTGCTCCGAAATGAATCTGCATTGTTGATGAAGCCAGGAAGTGGTGCATTGTCATGTGTGCCATGTGAAAAAATTCGCTGCATTGCTCAAAAAAAACATACTGTAAATTCACTGGATTATAAAACATTGTTAACTTCACCTTTTTAAGTACTGCTAGCTAATGTTAACGTCTTTGTTTCATACAGAACACACCAAGTGGCAGAAAATTGGACAAACACATATTTTGAACAACTTTAAGTTGTACAAAATGTTCACTTCAATTCCTGCAGAAACATGTCTTCAAAAATGCTCTTATGTACATTATATGATGCTCTGTTCACACCTGGGGAAACACATTTTTTCCCCATGTTTTCCTGTTTTTTACTATTTTAAATACATAAATGCATGCTCATTCATTGTTGTTTGAAAAGAGTTAGCTAAACAGTCTGATATGGTTGACTTCGTGTATGAGAGAATTTAGTCAAGGTTTCCCGCAATTTTAGCTCACTGATTGTGAACTAAATTTTCCTGAATGTCTCTGAAGGTCCCTGTGCAGACAAAGCACAAATGTCCAAGACAGGTGGCAACACAGTTGCAGCACTAAGAAAAAGGCAGAAGTCGTTCTATTTCATAATCAGCTTTTCCCAAATTCCAAAATACATAAAAAATACACTTTGTGGGCACATAAAATTTCAGGACGAGGGCTAATCTCTTCTTAATACTGACCCTCTTCACACTAGACATCTCATTGCTGAGTCTTAATAATGACAAATCCCTTTTCTCTGGTGAGGGACATCAGTGTATTTCTGAAAGAGAGTTAGAGGAGATTTTTGTTTGTTTTCTGTTCTAACATTGTTTTGTTTGTCTCGCTAGGGAGTGGAGCATTCAGCTGCACTTCTTGCGTATGGAGCTACACTTTATTAAGTGGAATGTGCAACTCAGACTGCCTCGTAGGCGAATACAGAGCCCAGGAGCCACCAGCAGAAGAGGTACCTATTTGCGGGCATTTTCTCCTGTGATTTATATCCTGACCTTTAGTTTCTGAACACAAGAATGCAAAATACTCCTCTCTGAGTTTTCAAGTCTGCTTATCCTTATACATTCCTACTTTTGTTATTCTCTTGGCAGAAAAAGCATTATTTTTCTTTCTGCTACTGTAGGAAGCTTTCTGTACTGGTGTATATTGAGACACAATGATGCCAAGCGTCACACCAAAACCATGAGAATAAATTCAGCTGTATCTATATACGGAGTGGGCTTTTTTGTTTGGTATGACCAACATTTCCCCAGGCATTTCTGCAGTTTTGCTTGTAAGAAGTCACATCACACTTTTGACTAGAGTTCTGCTGGCAGAAAACACTAGTGAAGAGACAGGCACAAGTTAACAGAGCTACATTTCTGAAATTGGACCACAGTATGCTTGGGCCTGGGCCACAAGTCTGGCCACATCAGTTTCCATATTTCCATCTGCCTTCCAGAGCTGCTGGTTCAAGATTACAGCAGTATGGTTAAGAGATGCTGGATACCCCAGGGTCTCTGTCCAGGAAGATCTCTGTAGCAGGGCTGCTCCTTAGCTGTGAATGTGGGAAGACAGCCCAAGAACCAGGGTCCACGAAGGTCCACAGTTCCCAGCATGGCCTCTCAGTCTCTTCCACGCTCTCAGATTCAGGGCAAGAAGACAAACAGCTCTGAAGGATCTATCCAGTTTGATGTAAGGTTACTGCACTGGACCTGGGGTCCTGGTCTGAAGTCAGACAAATTAAGAGATTTTTGCCCAGTAGGCCACTCAGGAACTGCAGACACTGGAAGCAGGCACTTGTCAGGAACCATGTGATCTCAGAGCAGTCCACGAGGTATGTGACAGCAAGGAACTTCAGTCATCACTGTATACAGATGGTCCCAGAATTTGACCTACCTAGACTTTGAAAAGTGTACCTGAATCTGAGTGGTTTCTGTGAAACAGAACCAACATGAACCAATAAAAGTCTGTTCTACTAGAAATATTTCAGTCATCTTTACTATTTATTTCTCCTCCTTGTCAAGTTGGAAATGGAATTCATTCTTTCATCTTGCTTACTTCCTCTTGCTCTACCTTAGTTGCTTAAGACAACTTTACTGTCGTCATGATCATCAGTGCTAAAGAGACACTTAATCTAACAGGGGTCTAGCAAGGCAAAAACGCAGCTTCTGCCCAAAGAGCTGACAGTCCAAATGAATTTTAGCTATCTCCCTAGTCAGGTCAGACTGCAAATGAAGCTTCTGCTGTAGTGTTTTGCACTCTCCTTACCAACAGATAGATCACTGACAACCTAGGCAGTATGAACCAAATCTTAATTTTCCCACGCCCAACAAATTTTGCCACAGACATCCATGGGTGAGAACCCAGAGTGACAGGGCAGAAGAGCCAGGTCCAAACGAACGGAAACGTGAGGTGCATTGCTTGTGTTCTGTGTCTCAAGGAGGATGAGTTCAAGTGTGAGAAATGCGACAGCACGTGCATTGAATGTAAGGGACCCGGGCCCCTCAACTGCACCGTGTGTCCAGCCAGCATGCAGCTCTCCCTGGAAGAAGGTCGCTGCCTGCCCTGCTGCGGTGCCTCTGACCCGGCTGGCAGCCCAGAGTGCTGCGACTGCAGCGAAACACAAGGTAGGACTGTTTTGATAAGGGGGAGCGGCATTTAAGGGCCTTATGACTCACTTGACTGACATTTGAAAAGGAAAAGCAGGAAATAACAAATATGTGCTGCTGAGCTGCGTGCATACAGTGCATTTCTACTGCTCCATCACTGGAGCTGGAAGGGCTTTATGCAAATAACAGCAATTGCAAGTTATATTGCCCCGTTCTCTCAGTCACCACTTTTTTTTTAATAGCCTGAATTTCATAACCCAGTTGACTGGGAAAAGTTTGCTTCAGCGGATAGCAATCTAAATCACACCCTTTAAAAACTCATCATACCAAAAACACTCCATTGACTTTGAAGTAGCTACAGTATATCATACAAGGTATTGCAGAGAGAAGAAGAATCTGTGGAAGAGTTGCAGAAAGAGGAAATATTTTTATTATATCAAACTCATATGATTGGGAAAAACAGACAGGCTCAGCGTACACAACCTGTCTTCCAGACTTGCTAGAAGCCAGAGAGTTAAAAATCCAAATATCTCTGGGGATGTCATGTTTCATGCCTAAACTTAGCAAGTAGTTTGTGTTTGTGTGCTTGTTAGTTTTTCTGCTTCTTGATGATTATTCCTAACCTCATGAAGAAACTTGACTACCCCAACAATCCTGTCCTTGTTTGTAACCTTGCACCATCAGAGCCCCAAGAACACATCTGCTGTACAGGAAGAATAAATTTTTCAGTCTAAAAGTTTAAAAAGCTTAAAGCTGTAAACAGGCCTAAATGTTCTCCTGGGTCATTTAAAAACAAGGTCTCCCACTTGATCTCGTATAATCTTTTTTCATTTCTTTTTGCTGTTGTCAGATGACTGTGTCTTACGGATCACTCAACCACCTGAAGGCAAAAGCAAAACAGCTCTCTTTGTTATCACCTGTATTTTGCTTCTCCTTGTCATTGGAGCCATTATATTCATCTGGAGAAAGTCACGAGCCAAAGCCCAGGCTGCCCATAAAAAAGGATATGAGAAGCTGACAAATCACCCCAAAGCCTTTCCTTCCTACATGAACAACTCCCATGAGAGTACAAGCTATCAGGAAGATCAGGTGATCGAGTTTAGAGACCGAGATAATGAAGATGATGATGACGATGACGATGATATTGTGTATATGGGCCAGGATGGGACAATCTATCGTAAATTTAAATACGGACTTTTAGAGGAGGATGAGGAAGATGAGCTTGAATATGATGATGAAAGTTACTCATTTAGATAAGTCGTTGCTAATTTATGGATTTTCTGCTCTGTTGTCTTTCTTACTAAATTACATCAATTTGGATAAGTATGTTTAGTTATTTCTTAGTGTGCTGAGCTCAAGATATTAGTTAATTCATATTGCGAGAGCAAAATGGTTTCCGAAAACGTATCTTTCTTCCTAAAACTTTACATAAATCCTTGCTAGTCTTTTCAGTAGCACTCCAGATGTACACTGATTAAGATGTTTCTGTGCATTTGTGTGGAGACAAAATCATTTCTCAATATATTTGTGTGTCTTAGAACTATTAAAAACATTCCTTCAAACAGCACACACATAAAGTGCCACTTTATTGTTTGCTACTTTGTGATTATAGCTATACAGCAAATCATAAAACAACAGGTGATTTTGCTGATTTTACCCAGATCTTCTTTCTTGATCTGGCACATATGTGCCCCTCAAAGCTGATACATTTCACCTCATAAACTTGTAGCACAGTTCTCAGTGAAATTATGTATTTATGACATGATGTTGAAGATTTTAATATTTGTGATTGTGACTCTATTCCAGATAAAACTACTGTATGCATTGTCTTTATAAAAATATTTGAAGTATTTTATAACATCATCAGCATCTGAGAAATCTTAATTCCAGTGGTTGCAAAGCTCAAATGATCTTTCATTATACACATTTTTTTCCTGCTTACTGCAGAGGAATATATGGTCTATATGTATGCTCAGGAAGGAAAAAAAAAAAAAAGGCTCCTTGACTCCTTTTGTCTTTGTAACTACCTTCTCAGGATTCAAGGATATAAACAAAGAGCACTACTCAGGCAACTTCTGCATTTCTCTTGGAAATGTCTCAGGATGTTCTGATGATGGCTATGGGGATAATTAACACTTCTTTGGTAAAGTAACCTAAAGGAACACAACAGTGTATTTTTTTATCATTACAGAAACGTAATTTATCATACAACAGATAAGGATGCTCTATATGGCCCCTTGCTGTGACAGAATAAATTCTTTGCACAAAACTCTCTGGAAAGTGTTGTTATTTGTCAACAGTATTGCCAGGTGGGTAAAAGAGTGGTCTGATCTTGGAAGCCTGCCTTGCTCTCCTGCTTACTCAGAGTTCCTGTAGATATCCAGCAAGAATCATTTCTAGAAACCTAAAATGTTTAGATTTAGCTTTTCCAGTGGAATTCTATGACAGATACCTAACCTTTACGGTTCAAGGCGTAAGTAGAATTTTTTGTCCCAAACACCTCAGGACCCTTCTCTACCTAAGTGTAAAGGGCACTTATGGAAATAAGTGGACACTTATGGAATGAGCTTCTACTTTAAATTTTAATCTTTTAATCATGCCGTCAGGACCGGAGGGGAATAAAAGATCTTTTAACAGATTATAAACGACAAAGCAAGGACTTGTATTTATCAAAAGAAGTATAATAACCAGCCACTTTGGAAAGACACATCTGCCACTTCAATTCCTGGTCTTATCTTGGGGAGCTCTACAAACCAAAGGAATGAAAACAGAGAGAAAGCAATTCAGAAAGTCAAGCATACTGAGTGGGGGAAAAGGCTCTTTGAGGTATCCTCCTCTCCTACACTTACTTGTGTACGCTATTGTTTTAGTGGCAAATATATAACCTGGCTGTGGCTATCTGAAATCATCCCCGTCAACTACAAGCTACATTTAAGATGTTTGAAATCACTGCCACAGGGGATGCAACAATTATTGTCACAAGTTCTCAGGCTACTATCTCAGCATACTATTCAATGAAAACTGTGATGTATTTAGGTACCCTGGTTGGGTTCAGAAGAATAACCAGGGCCCGGTCTGGGCCCGGGCCCG